AGGTAATGCAGGATTTATATCACCAACAGTGTCATAACCCTAGTCAGGAGCCTTCTGTGGGTACTTCCCCAGAGGATCCAGAAAGTAGAACCCCTAATTTGGGACCCTATACTAGTGAAGCGAACGGGCTCCCTCTTTGCATCCTCCCGGGCGTCTGGGAAAATCTACTTATGACCTAGTTGCTACATCCCCCGACCCTGCCAGCAGTAAGGCTCCAGAGTTCTGCTAAATAGATTCCCTAAACGGGAGGTTTCTTTAAAGTACCCTTTGGTAGCGTAGGCAGTATAGTCTCCTACATTCGGAGATTTACTTTTTGTATCCTTTCCCCTAGGGATCAAAATAGCCCATGTAGTATGGCCTTTGGGCCCAAAAGCTTCAATCCAACAGTCCTTAGATCCCTAGGGTTCTCAAACCCTAAACCCTAAATCCCTTCGTGGGTCTGGGCAAGGCCTTGTTGGTGTAAACCAAGGAATTAACCCCCAAAGACTGGACAGAAACCACCATGCCGCCCTACCGTGCGCATACCGTTTACACACGTATACCTACTTGTCGGGCATCATGGGGAACTAAAGGTCAACCTTGTTGGTCATATAAAGATAAAAAAGGGACTACACTACCCCAAAAAAGGTTAAAGGCTACCTACTCTACTAGGTATACAAATATTATGAGAGGCTTTGTAGGTTCTGCTACTTAAGTCCTTTACAGGCACCTAGTTGCTGAGTTCGTAAGCCCCCCAAATATGTACACTTTCAGTTTTATAGTGGGTAGTATTACCCCAAATCGTGTAAAGTGTATCCACTCAGCTACTAAGGGCAAAGTTCAGGGTTCTCAAGCCGGGCCCGGAACAGTCCTTGCCGGGCACTTGAGGCTTCACGATGGTGAGGGCATCGGTGCTGTGACTCTTCTGGATACACTCGGTCCTCATTGTCAGGAACCCAAAAATACCGCAACCCTCAATGAAGAAGAGCTATACCTTAAACTAAGACACCGAAAGTCTAATTTAGCCTTGACACCAGGGGGTTCAATTAAGGGATCTCAGTTTTAGATCCTCCCTGGGGCCTGGAAATACTAGAACCCGCAAACCCTAAACTCTCGCACCACTTACTAAGCTAACGGATGCTTAACCCTAAACCCCTGAGCCCTGAACTCACTCACCCGCTGACTCAGCTGGTCCCTAAACCCGTATATAATCCATAACACGTAGGCTTGGATTCGGGTAGGCAGCTACCTGAACCTACCAAAACCTATTTCTTGTGTGGGTTCTGATTGTAAAACCCTAATATTGTGGAATTCATAGGGGCCGTTCTGGTAGGTTCCCCCTAAACCCTAAACCCTATGTGGAATTCATAGGGGCCGTTCTGGTAGGTTGGGGTTCCACAGCGAGGGAGCCTTTCCGATCGAGTATTAGGGCTTTAATAATCGGAATAGGGTTCCTTTGAGAGTTCTTTCAGGGTTTAGGGTTTAGGGTTTAGGGCTTAGGGATCTATAATAGGGTTCTATGATACAGGGGCCTTAATGGTTAGAATAGGATTCTGTGGGTATCTTAAACCATCAGTAGGTATAATAAGGAACCCCCTGGTAGTTATTTACGCCGCTATAATACCGTGGTATTTAATACCAGACAATGCCAAGGGGCCTTCAAAGTTAACATGTTTTCGATACTATTCCAGATACAATGGAAAGGGGCCTTGGTAGATACAACGCAAGGGATCATACTCTTACACAAATAAACAGTGGCTCTCTGGGATCCTAGTATTGATTCTCCAGACGTTGTTACAGACCTTGGGGCACCGCCCGACAGCCCCAAACTGGGACTTGATCAATCAGGCGCAGGTTTCAATCTAAGGGAAACACGACGGCATGTTGTTAAATGTAGAGGTCTGAATGGCATGACGAGTTGTTCAAGATTTCTGCATTGCAACATTCTTCAAGCCCCCCCCTGTGCCCTAAAGGATATCCAGCTGAACCTTTCCACCCTATGATGGCACAGGGTTTAAGGCTTAGAGTAATAAAATCACTGGCACAAAACCCATAGGAATAGAAGTTGAAACTTCCAGAATCGACTACCTCATAAGAACCCCAACAGTTGAAAAGCTGAGTTTGCAGCCAATAAGCAAACCTGGAAAACCCATTCCTAAAGCACCTTCCATGCCCTCACCTTCAGCTTTGAAACCCCAGATGAACTGCTCTCTTTCGAGATTAAGGGGCCTGCCTTAAATCACATTAGGGACCCTACCACATTTTAGAGTATAGTCCTTGGTTGAGACTCCCGCAGATCTGGGCTAAACGGGGCGGAACAAGAAGACTGCGAAGCTGTCAAAGACATAGTAAGCAGATGTAGGCGGATTTTGGCGAAGTCTGTAAGACTCCCAAACGCAGGGACTCCCGACCATACAACGCACATCCTTCTCTGCTTGGAGGGTCGGGGGACTTAGCCAATAATTAAAGTTTAGATCCATCATGAGTATCATAGCCCTATTTAGGACCGCTGATATGTGTACATATTACCTACCTACTAAGTTTCCCCGGGCAAACCCATTGAACGACTTTACATGTGATAGACTTGATAAACCTCGCTGCTCTACTTCCCACAACTCTTTGTACGAAACGTAGAAAATGTTCAATCGCCCTCGTCCTCTCGTGTTTTGAACCCTAAAGCCCTAAACAGCCCTGAACCCAAAAGAAGCACATACCCGAAACTAAACGGGCGAGCAACAAAGCTGCAGTTTGATCTCCCGACGTTGAAAGCACAAGCACATCCTGAACAAGTGGGTGGTTGTCAAAATTATGGTCCCTTTCTTTGGGTACCCTAAATATTTCCAAGGGTAAAAGGAGGGACCCTTAATAAGGACCCCTTGGTATATAACCTTAATACAGCTATTTGTTACCCATTGTTTCGCCCATTATAGGGTAGGGGTCCCCATTAGGGGTCCCTCCTTTTCCCCTTTGAATATTGGGTGGCGTATTATAATAAGGACCCAAGCAGTGACAACCACCCAAGTCCGTTGTCCAGTCGCTTCGGGCTCCAGAGGTGTCGGGCTTAGGGCGAGGGCTCCGGTGGAATTATCGGGGCCTTGGGTCTTTAAATGGGGTGCTGTTCAGGGTTCCTCCTATGTACTTACTACTATACTCGTGTGTAGGAACCCGGGGAAGACTACTCTAACCAATTATCTCGGCCATAAACCGTAAACCCTAGTTGCTCCGGGTGTGGAATTTCCCGTATTCAGGGTTGAGGGTTTGTCTTGGCAGTAAAACACAACCGTTTTTGCTGGAGGCGGGAGCCTGGTACTTATGCAAAACCATTTAGGGCCTAGGCTTCAGGGTTACGTTTTGGGGCTTGGGACTCTGCTTCCTAAATCCATGGGATTATCAAGGAGGAAAAACATTCCCGGCCCTGACTATAAATTGTGGGAAACCCTCCTGAACCTCTGAGCCTGAAAACCGCAGCTCTCAGAACTACGTCAGACAAGACACACACACAGTCCCTTAAGGGGCTTGTGAAGCAAGGGTTTGGGATTCAGGCATATGGGTGGTTGTCAAAATTATGGTCCCCTTTTTGGGTAGCCTAAATACTAGGTTACTAGGTGCCGTATTATAATAAGGACCCAAAGGGACCCTAATATTGACAACCACCCATATGAACCCTGCACTACTCTGTAGAAACCCTAAACCCTAAACCCTAAACCGAGAAGTATAGGGACCTACTTTGCAGATCCTCCCAAGAGTCTCGGCACTCGACTTTCGGAACCCCATAGGGTTTAGGGTTTAGGGTTCAGGGTTCAGGGTTTAGGGTTTAGGGTTCAGGGTTTAGGGTTTAGGGTTTAGGGGTCCAGACACCCACCCGCGATCTCTGACCACACCTTTCGATACCTTGTAAGTTACCGATAGTCTCCATTGTAGTTCCCTTTTTTTGGTTTGGCCAGTTTTATATTAAGGATCCCACAAGGTAACACCAAAAAGGAACTACCATGGAGACTATAGGTAAACTCTAAAACCCTAAACTTTCCCAAACTAGGTCCCTTCGACCTAAACAAGCCCTGACCCCAGATCACTAACCGCTCAAGTGTTAAACCCTTCAAGATCCAAACAATCCCGGACAAGCCGTGCGTGCGAGGAGCCAGAAGGCATTGAATGCGCTTCAGCGCATTCCACTGGGTCTTCAGGTCGTTGGAAATGCTCACGGCCGTGTTATAGTTGTTCCTCGATATGAACGAGGGATTTATTGCTAGCATCCCAACACATACAAAAGAAACCCACTGTACGACCATCAGCAACCTTTGGTGTCGGCTCTGCGTTCTCTGCGGTCTCAGGCATACAGATCACAAAATACGGACTGAGACCGCTTTAGGCTCAAGTCTCATCGTTTTCCACAATCTGGCATTGAATGCATGCCATATGATTTCCAAAGACCTCCCAGAGACTACTGTGTGATGCGGAGTGTTTTGCTCTTTGCTCACATGCTGCAATAGATTCCACAAGAAAACTCGACACAAACATGTGCGGGACCTTCAGCACATCCCGGATCAGCGGGCGGGTAGGCAGGCTATAAACTTGCACGTATCTTGCTCGTTACGAGCGCTACGAAAAGCCTGCTTGCTAGGTCGACCGACCCCCCATATGGATGCTTCTCTAGATTAGGACCCCTTTTGAAAAGAAAAGGGACCCTAATGTAGAGCACTACCCGCCCTAAACCACATAGAACCTAAACTCAAAAGCTCCCACCCGAAACTCCCTAAACCCTCCAACCCTCACCCTTAAGACCCTAAAATCCCCCCACCCTGTTACCCTATATCCTAGAACCTTGAACCCTAAACCCCAAACCCCTAAACCCCCTTTAAACCCCTAAACCCTGATGTAAACCCCAAAGCCCTAAACCCCCTTTAAACCCCTAAACCCGAAACCCTCCGGCGCCCTAAACTCGAAAGCCAGGCCGAGTGGCGCAGCTGCTGCCTCCGACGCTGCCCAGCAGCTGTCATAGGCGCTGCACGCGGACACCTTCCCTGGGGACTGGGTTTAGGGTTTCTTTAAAGGGGTCTATAGGGGCTACTATAAGGGTTCCCATAGGGGCTGCTGCAGGGTTGAAGGTTTAGGGGCTTAGGTTTTAGGGGTTTAGGGTCTAGGGTGCGGACACCTTGCCTGGGGACTTGAGAAGGAGGCAAGGACTGTCACCATGAGCTGAAACATTAGACTAAGATACACGAGGTAAGATATGGTGCGTGTGTATGTATGTATGTATGTATGTATATATATATATATATATGTATGTATGTGCATATGGCCCCGGCCGAAGCGGTCAGAGGTTCCTATTAGGATTTCCTCTATTCCCCACCTCTTAATCCCCTCCCCGCGGTGAATTTTCGCCTTCTCCAGTGGATTTTGGCTTTCTGTAGGCAGTCCCACCCAATTTCCCCTCCCCCCCGCCACGCCCCCCCCCACCCCCGTGCCTCCCACTCCTTCCCTCTCCCTGTTTCCTCTTCCCACCGCTTTCCCGATTCATTAATACTACCCACAATCATCCTGCTTCGTGTTGCTATGAACATTACTTTTACTATAAGTGCGATTCCAACTGTTACTTTTTTCCTACAAGAGCTTGCTGCAGATAGTAGCCACTCGCCGCATGCGCGTACAGCCGGGCCGAGGCGGACGACGCGCAGCGCTTCAAATTATGCACATATGTGCATGCATAGATGCATACGTCTATGTGTCTATATGCATGTACATATTCAGTCATCGATTCATGCTTGGACTAGTGTTTGGTTTGTATTCATGTGATTTTCTTTCATTTCATTCATTTCGTTCATCTCATTCATGTCATCCACATCCTCCACTTCATTCATGTCATTTATATCGTTCACATTTCATTCTTTTCATTCCATTCATTCATTGTTTCGTGCCATTGATTATGCATTTTCCTTCATGTCATTCAAGCCTTCATTCGTAATCTCGTTGGTTCGTTCATTCATTAGTTCGTTCATCCCTGCATCCATGCATGCGCGCATTCACCCGTTATGCATGCAGACACAGGGACAGAGAGGGAGAGAGAGGGAGAGAGAGAGAGAGAGAGAGAGCGAGCGAGATAGAGAGAGAGAGAGAGAGAGAGAGAGAGAGAGAGAGAGAGGGGGGTATGGGCAGCTACAGGGGCGGATAGACTGGGCATGTTATCCATTGTCAAGTTCTGGACACATGGCGCAAAGAGGATCCTGTTGATGGGCTCCATGTTGGAACATTCGGAAACCCAAACCACAGGTCACAAGTCGTAAAAAAACCTCTATTGGTACTTTGTGATACTGTGGACATATCCCTGACCCATGGAATCTTCATGCCTGTTGTACATAAAGGAAGGAAATGCTCCTTGAATTAGCGGTGCACCTGGAAAATATGAAGAATCCATCTAAACTTCAAGGTATTTTTGTAAGCAAAGGAGTTCGGGAAACAAAACCCTATAAGCCCCTAAAAATCCGAATACAGAGCAGCCCTATAAACACAAAAATAGAAACCTATAGAGCCCCATACAAACTCGAGTTGCCCGACACTCTGTGCCACAACCCTTAAAGCCAACAGAACTGCTGCACCCAAACGGCCTGGCCTTGGTAAGGTGTGCAGATGGCCCCCGTGGCGTTTGACTTCCTTGGCGGTTTGTGGTTTCGATATTAGATGGGCTTTCGCTCTTTTCCTTTTGTTTGAGGGCTGAGGGTGGGCTTGAGTTTTGGGGTTTAGGGCAGGCTTTGCGGGCTTGAGGGGTGATTGTTTGTTTTAGGTTTTGGCGTGTAGGTTTAGGGTTTGACAACTTCGAACTACCTTCTGAACGGCAGATGGTCATACCAGTCTGTGTCAAGCGGCTTAAAGGGGTCAGGGCAAAGCTTAAAGCTTCACGGGTATCTTACTCGTGAAGCAACTTTTTAAATACTAACAGAGTGCTGCTTCGCAGATTTGGTCTTTGGCATGTCGGGCATCATGCAACAACTTTGGACGTCAGGTGGGATCTGCAATTTTCAAGCAAATAACGCCGTACCTCGTCCAGGCACAGCACTTTCTTGTTCAGGAGTGGCGTGGCCTTCTTGCAGGGCTTGCTTTTTGCCTTTGCCTGAACAGGCTTCTTCCACTCCTTCGCCTCGTCTGCCAGAAGCTCTTCAAGCTCAGCAAAATCATTAGGCTCTAGAGCTTCAGCAACGACGTCAACATTATCCTCGAGAAGCGATGGCTGCTTCTTCGGCCTTGCACCATGCTTCGCCAGGACGTCTTTAAACTCAGCTTCTGTCATCGACGGCCATCCATGCTTGCAATGAAGATACAGAGAGTCAGTGAGAAGTCGCGGTACTCCCCGTCGGTCCAAACCCAGGTAGCCTGCAAGCATTGTCAGCTGTGTCAAGGTGAGGCCGGGGAATCCGCTGCGAGCTGCCACCCGGAACAGACCTCAGAACGCTAAGCTTTTCTTTTTTGCAAGAAGACAGCCCGATGATGAATAGACCCCTTGGTTTAAAGGCCTGATGCGATCCCCAAAATGGTCCTCGTTAATGCAGGAGGGCTCGCTCTTCCGGACCTTCAGATTCAGGGTTTAGGGTTTAGGGTCGAACCCTAAACCCCCAAACCTGCAACCCTAAACCCCCAAACCTGCAACCCTAAACCCCGAAAACCCCAAACCTTAAACCCTAAACCCCCAAACCTGCAACCCTAAACCCCGAACACCCCAAACCTTAAACCCTAGCCCCTCGCATAGCTTGTCCGGCCTCTTTGCGGTACAGAGCCGGGCACAGGCTGTGGCCCCTAAACCCCTAAACCTGCAAATCCTAAACCCCTAAACCTTAATAAGCCTTTATAGCCCTAAACCCCAAACCCCGAATAGCCCTAAACCCCAAACCCCTAAACCCTAAACTTAACCCCACAGGTCGGGGGCTTAGGCTTCAGCTCAGTACGATGCTGCCCTGTGGGCTTGGTTGTCTGAAGGTCTGGCGCGAGACCAAGCATCTAACTCGGAGGTCTCACAAGGTGGGATAAAAGTAGGTAGGATTAATATTATTATTAGTATTATTACTATTATTATTACTATTATTATTATTATTATTATTATTATTATTATTATTGGCTCCCTTATATAAGGACTCGATTTAGGAAAACCCCACCTATCTTCATCCCACTTTTGGAGCCCTTTGACTAGTGAAGGCCGGCGGCAGAGAAGCGCAGTGAAGCTCCTGTTGCAAGAGCTGGATTGAAAAGGTTTTCGGATTGAAATCGGCTAGCTTCCTGGGTGGATATACCCACAATCCAGGAACCTGTACTATCAAATAATACCTTTGTAGAACCGCGCCCCCCCCCTTAAGGCACGCACTTCTTTAGATCCTCCCAGGGCCCTAAACCACTTAGCCCTAAACCCCCCAAAAAAATCCGAGACCCCCAAACCCCTAAAGCCCTGAACACCCCCGACCTTGAACGATAAGGATCCCAAACTCGTCATCTTCTCAACTTTGCGGCCTTCTGCTACTTAAAGAGTCATGGGACTTAGTAACTAGGGTTATAGTTAGGGTAACTATACTGACTATACTTATAATTACTTATAGCCCCAATTAGTACTTATAACCCTACCTACTAAGTCCCATGATCCTCCAAGTACTGAAGGGTACTTTATAGGAACCCCTGTCAAGGGATCTGCCCTCCAGATCCTCGCAGGGGTCTGGCTTAAGCGCCCCCTGAACCTTCTACTTAGTCGCTGAGTTCATAAGCCGCTAAAACGTGTACCGTGTACCCTGTCACTTCTATAGCGGATGGCACTGTCCCAAAACAATAAACGATCAGCTGCTGAGTTGTTATTTAACAAGAAACTGCACTGGCCGAATATAAACCCCGAGAACTTACAATACCGGTCCTGGGTGGCGACGGGTGTCATCTTACCGTTGCACTCTGTCTGCTTGGCAACGTAGCTTGAGGTTGCGTCCTGTGTATCAAGGAGGCCTTCATAACTAGAAAAAGGCTCTTTAAGAGTTTGTGTTGAGGCTTTAGGGGGCCTGGCCAGGGGCCGCAGCAATTAAAAGATGCATTCTTGAGATTCGTTTGTGAAGGATTCAATGTTGCTGCCTTCACTAATGTTGAAAATAGGGTCTTCGGGGCTAAAGGGCTAAGGGCATGTTCGGCACTGAGCGCTCAACTCTAAATCCCTAAACCCTAAACGCAGAGCTGGAAACGTCCCACGATTCTCCAATTGATCCTTGAACGGAACTTCGGAGCATATCGTGACGCACTTGCAACACAGTATAATTAGGAAGACCGAACCCAGACCCCCTGAAAAAATCTATCAGGTAGAACCCCGAAGTCGGGGACCTATACCACTAAAGGCTACTTTGTAGGAACCCTCACAAAGGGATCTACTTTTTGGATTTTTCCGGGGGCCTGAATACAAGTTCAGCGAGGTCTACAGTAGAAGACTAAAGGTTGGAAACCCCGTAGCCTCAATCCTTAACTACTATTTGCTTAAGAACCCCCAAAAAATGGAAAATAATAATCCCTATATTATCCCTATAAGGAATATATTTTTTATTTTTTGGGGGTTCTTAAGCAAATAGTAGGTAACGTATAGGGAGTCCCAGCACTATTTGGGCTTAATCCGGTTTCCAACTTTATGGGATTCACTATAAACCCCCCCAGACCCTAAACCTCTATAGATCCTTAGAGAATCCTTTAAGGATGCCCTTATAGAACCCTTACATATGCATCCTCACCGCGCGCGCAGAGGTCGCGGGGCTCTAGGGTTGCATTAGGCTTAGGAAACTTCCTAAACTATACGGAACTTAGACCCCTAGCAAAAGTTATGATTCTAGCTGCTTCTTAGGGATTCTAGGCACCAAAAAATAGAATGTATTTCTAGTGAAGGGGCGACTGTCAGGGATACTATGAGGGTTACTACTGTGAGGGACACTACACGGGAAGCTATAGACTACGTTTTTCGGTGTCCCCTTTAAATACCCTTTTTTGCTGCTATCCAGATTTAATCAGGGAACCCTGCAAATAA